TTTTACAGAAAAATAAGTCCTGGATGATTTGCTAGCAATAGACAACAAGAAATCTACAGGGATCCTGGTCTGCTTAAGTGTGCAGCGCCCATCACTGTTGGCAAAATAACCCACATTTTGTATTTAACGTTGTTATCAGGAAATATTCCAAAAGTATGGAAATCAGCTCTTGTACTGCCACTCCATAAGGACGGAGATAGTAGTGATTTTTATAATTATCGCCCCATTTCAAGGCTTCCTTGTCTAGCTAAGATTCTTGAATCCTTGGTAAATCTACAACTTTTTTATCTGAGAAATGTATTTTGAATGTAAACCAATCAGGGTATAGGCCTGGGCATAGCACTATTACAGCAACCACTTTAGTTGTTAATGATCTTGTCAATACTTTAGACACTAACATGAAATGTGCTACTTTGTTTGTGGACCTGTCAAAAGCTTTTGATACTGTTGATCATGCTATTTTATTGAATAAGTTGTCCTCATTATGCCTGAGTTCAGACTCCTGTTCATGGTTTCATGATTATCTTAGTGACAGAACTCAGGCCATCATGATTGATGTGGTTAAGTCTACATTTCTTGAAGTACATAAAGGTGTACCACAGGGGTCGATTTTGGGACCTGTTCTCTTCACTATTTACATAAACACCATTGGTCAATCTGTAAAAAATTGTAAACTTCATCTATATGCGGATAATACTATTATGTATGCTATTGACCTGACTGTTGATCTGGCTGTGTCAAAATTACAGTCAGATGTTTATAGCTATGCAGGAATCCCTTGCTGATTTAAAATACGGGCAAAACAAAATACATGTTGTTTTTAAACTCTCGTAAAAAAAATCTGATGAACTACATGTTCACTCATTAGATGGTTCTCCAATCGAACGTGTTCCCGTTGTCAAGCCTACTCCCGCTCCCCTGCTCCGGCACTCGACGTCGCCGGTCTACTAACCACTGGTCCTGGCAATCATCATAACGCCAAGGTAGTGGGTTCGATCCCCGGGACCACCCATACACAAAAATGTATGCACGCATGACTGTAAGTCGCTTTGGATAAAAGCGTCTGCTAAATGGCATATTATTATTATTATTATTATTATTACGCACACCTGCTCCCCATCATTACGCACACATGGACCTCATCATCACCTTGATTACCATCCCTTTATTTAATTTAATTTAGCCCAAATAAATGCTTCACAGAGTTCAAGTAACAGATACATCTCAACATCAACTGTTCAGAGGACACTGCGTGAATCAGGCCTTCATGGTAGAACCAATAAGAAGAAGAGACTTGCTTGGGCCAAGAAACACGAGCAACAGAGATTAGACCGGTGGAAATCTGTAGGTGAATAGATGATCTCCGCATGTGTGGTTCCCACCGTGAAGCATGGAGGAGGAGGTGTGATGGTGTGGGGGTGCTTTGCTGGCGACACTGTCTGTGATTTATTTAAAATTCAAGGCACACTTAACCAGCATGGTTACCACTGCATTCTGCAGCGATACGCCTTCCCATCTGGTTTGCGCTTAGTGGGACTATCATTTGTTTTTCAACAGGACAATGACCCAACACACCTCCAGGCTGTATAAGGGCTATTTTACCAAGAAGGAGAGTGATGGAGTGCTGCATCAGATGACCTGGTCTCCACAATCACCCAACCTCAACCCAATTGAGATGGTTTGGGATGAGTTGGACCACAGAGTGAAGGAAAAGCAGCCAACAAGTGCTCAGCATATGTGGGAACTCCTTCAAGACTGTTGGGAAAGCATTCCAGGTAAAGCTGGTTGAGAGAATGCCAAGAGTGAGCAAAGCTGTCATCAAGGCAAAGGGTGGCTACTTTGAAGAATCTAAAAATTGTTTACAACTTTTTTGGTTAGTACATGATTCCATATGTGTTATTTCATAGTGTTGATGTCTTCACTATTATTCTACAATGTAGAAAATAGTAAAAATAAAGAAAAACCCTTGAATGAGTAGGTGTGTCCAAACTTTTGACTGGAACTGTAGGTGTGTGTATATAATGTGTATATGTATGTGTATAATGTGTATATTTATGTTTTATTATACAGTGCGCATTTGAAAAAGAGACCAGTTCTCAATTTGTCTTCCCTGTTAAAATAAAGATTAAATAAAATAATAAAATCTAGAGATCTACCAATAAAGAACAGTAAAAGTTAACAATCAAAGTTTATTACACTTTTATATACAAACAACCTTGCAAGGCACACCTTTTGTTTAAATTATAATATACAATACATTTTTATTCTTGAAAGCAAAAAAGTTTTCGATTTGAAATATATATTAATATAAGTTTGTTTAGCATTGTAGAGAGAAGGCCACAAATAGTGGATTTTCCTTTGACACAAAATAAATGGGGGCAATTGAACACATTGTCAGGTAAACCATAGACGCCATTTTTGTTTATTTTCAGTTGGTTCGCGATAATTTCTGTAAATGCACACACTAACAAAAGGACTAACGCTGTATCAAAACCGCATCATTACTTCCCAACAAGCTTATATCTTTCAAATGCATCTGTGATTTTGGCTGTAGTCATTAAGAAGACAAAATAATGTGTATTCAACTAGCTTTGTGAGAACGGTTTCAATATATAATCTCAGTACCTATAGCATATACTCTGATAACCCATTGCTCTTTCAATATGAAACACTATCAATGTATTCATTGATAATGTTATACCCAGAGCCAAATATGTACAGTGCCTTCAGAAAGTATTCACAACCCTTGACTTTTTCCACATTTTGTTCTGTTACAGCCTGAATGTAAAATTGATTCAATTCAGATATTGTGTCACTGGCCTACACACAATACCCCATAATGTCAAAGTGGAACTTTGTTTTTAGAAATGTTTACAAATTAGTTGAAAATGAAAAGCTGAAATGTCTTGAGTCAATAAGTATTCAACCCTTTGTTATGGCAAGCCTAAATAAGTTCAGGAGTACAAATATGCTTAACAAGTCACATAATAAGTTGCCTGGACTCACACTGTGTGCAATAATAGTGTTTAACATGATTTTTGAATGACTACCTCATCTCTGTACCCCACACATACAATGAATTATCTGTAAGGTCCCTCAGTCGAGCAGTGAATTTCAAAAACAGATTCAACCACAAAGACCAGGGAGGTTTTCCAATACCTATTGGTAGATGGGTAAAAATAAAAAAAGCAGACATTTTACATCCCTTTGAGCATGGTGAAGTTATTCATTACACTTTGGATGGTGTGCCAATACACCCAGTCACTATGAAGATACAGGCATCCTTCCTAACTCAGTTGCCGGAGAGGAAGGACAACTGCTCAGGGATTTCACCATGAGGCCAATAGTGACATTATACAGAGTTTAGTGGATGTGAGAGGAGAAAGCTGAGGATGGGATCAACAACATTATAGTTACTCCACAATGCTAACCTAAATGAGAGAGTGAAAAGAAGAAAGCCTGTACAGAATAAAAATATTACAAAACATGCATTCTGTTTGCAATAAGGCACTAAAGTAATACAGCAAAACATGTGGGAAAGAAATTAACTTTATGTTGTAAATACAAAGTGTTATGTTTGGGGCAAATACAACAAAACACATCACTGAGTACCACTCTTCATATTTTCAAGCATGGTGGGGGCTGCATCATGTTATATGTATGCTTGTCATCGGCAAGGACTAGGGAGTTTTTTAGGATAAAATGAAATGGAATAGAGCTAAGCACAGGCAAAATCCTAGAGGGAAACCTGGTTCAGTCTGCTTTCCAACAGACACTGGGAGACAAATTCATCTTTCAGCAGGACAATAACCTAGAACACAAGGCCGAATATACACTGGAGTTGCTTACCAAGACGACATGGAATGTTCCTGAGTGGCCTAGTTAAAGTTACGGCAAGACTTGAAAATGGCTGGCTGTGTAGCAATGATCAACAACCAACTTGACAGAATTTTAAAAATAATAATGTGCAAGTATTGTACAATCTAGGTGTGCAGACCTTCCCAGAAAGACTCACAGCTGTAATCGCTGCAAAAGGTGATTCTAACATGTATTGACTCAGAGGTGTGAATACTTATGTAAATTAGATATTTCTGCATTTATTTTTCAATACATTTGATAACATTTCTAAAAACATGTTTTCACTTTGGGGTATTGTGTGTAGATGGGTGAGAGAAAAATCGATTTAATCTATTTTAAATTTAGGCTGTAACACAACAAAATGTGGAACAATTCAAGTTATAATTTTTTTTTGAAGGCGCTATAGGTATATAGTTACAAACACATACAGCTAGAAGGCTCTGGTAATACCAATGTTAGAACTATTCCATCGATATTTCATCAAAATTAAAATTATCTAGAGGGTGAACTTCCTAAATCAAAAGGGGTATGCACACTTGACTGAAATTATACAGTGTCAAACTGTGTATATACTCTATCGATATAAATGCATAGCACTCTTATGCATAAGGTCATTCAAGTTAGTTGGAGTTGGGGTTAAGTGAAATTAATAAACCGTTTCTAAACATTTGGATTTAGGGATTAACTTTACATTTGCTTTATGACATAGTTTATCTTCATGTTGATATTGGCTATGGGAAACATTTATGAATCTACTAAAGAAATGCAGGGAGAGTCTTTTCGCTGCACTCAAAATGTCTCTGAATCAGCACTTGGAAAACATCCTTAATAGCAGACATAAAATAATGTTTCTCAAAATGGCAGCCAAAACATAAAAATAACGTAGATTTAGGATGATAAAACACTAACCTCTCTGAATAGTTCAATCAGTAAACAATGCAGGTAACAGTTGAAAATGCTGTAACAAATTTCAAAGCCGTCATGATTTTTGTAATATCAATGCTGTCTGTTATAACTGCTTGGTGGCGGTTTGAAACAGAGCGCTGACATCATATCCTCTGCAGTGACATCACATCCTCCTAACGTTAAGAGTCATGGCTGCATGTAAATACGCTTCGGTGGGGTTGCAGGTCAAACTGTTATCATGCTAACAGGCCTAGCCGCTTGACCTTAGCAGAGAGGAAGGAGTGGATGATGAACACCATAGTCTTGGGGCAGGAGTGGAGGTCCAGTTGCTGCAAGGGAGGAAGAGGAAAGGAGGGAGTTAGAAAGAGGAGAGGGGAGGCAGAGGGAAGAGAGAGAGAAGTTCATTATCACCTTTGACGTTGTTATAGTTGAGTTAGCATAGCAAACAATGACTACTCTGTTAAAACGTTTACTCTGTATTGAAACTTTTTTGGGGGTTTGAAAATGAGGTTTGTCATGTGAACAAGAGAAGGAACCCAACAGCAAAGGAGAAAGGAGATACAGCTAGGACGAAAGAGGAGAGAGAGAGAGAGAGAGAGAGAGAGAGAAGAGAGAGAGAGAGAGAGAGAGACAGAGAGACAGAGAGACAGAGAGAAAGTGAAGAAAAAAAATAAACACAAAACAACCAAGCAACCAACACCAAGCAACCAACACCAAGCAACCAACACCAAGCAACCAACACCAAGCAACCAACCAACAACAAGCAACCAAGCAACACCAAGCAACCAACCAACACCAAGTAACCAACATCAAACAACCAAGCAACCAACACCAAGCAACCAACACCAAGCAACCAACACCAAGCAACCAACCAACACCAAGCAACCAAGCAACCAACCAACACCAAGCAACCAACCAACACCAAGTAACCAACATCAAACAACCAAGCAACCAACACCAAGCAACCAACACCAAGCAACCAACACCAAGCAAGCAAGCAAGCAACCAACAACCAACCAACGCACCACCCAACACCAACACCCACACCAATCAACCACCACCAAACCACCAACACCAACCCAACCAAACTAAACCAAACCAACACCAAGCAACCAACACCAAGCAAGCAAGCAAGCAAGCAAGCAAGCAAGCAACCAACCAACCAACCAACTAACCAACACCAAGCAACCAACACCAAGCAACCAACTAACCATCCATCCAACAAACTAACCAACCAACAAACTAACCAACCAACACCAAGCAACCAACTAACCATCCATCCAACAAACTAACCAACCAACAAACTAACCAACCAACACCAAGCAACCAAGCAACCAACACCAAGCAACCAACACCAAGCAACCAACCAACCAACACCAAGCAACCAACCAACCAATCAACCAACCAACACCAAGCAATCAACCAACACCAATCAACCAACCAACACCAAGCAGCCAACCAACACCAAGCAGCCAACCAACACCAAACAGTCCAGTAAACAGTCCAACTCACAATCTCCGCCTCTGGCCCTCCGAAGTCGAGGAAGATCATGTGTACACCGTCGTCTGAGGACATGCGCAGGCGCTCGAAGGGCTGCTGGAGGAGCACCGTCTTCCTGATGCCCATCTCCTCAGTGAACAGGCTAAAGCCCTCGTCGATGTGCACTCCCAGGTTGCACTCCTTCCCGTTCCAGCTGCAGGCTGCCAGGGACCACAGATAAAGGCATTAGGAAGGTTGGTCACTAAGGGCCGGTTTCCTAGACACAGATTAGACCTAGTGCTCAACTAAAAAACATTCTCAAAGGAGATTATCTTGCTTTTTAGTCCAGAACCAGGACTATGCTTAATCTGTGTCCAGGAAACTGCCCCTAAAGGTTCTGATTTTAGGTTGCTCTTTGTTTCTGTATCACTCCCCTTACAAAACTGAATACTAAAGGTACAGTAGTTGATTGACTGATCTGTTCTATCACATTGACATCGATCATACAGTGAATATATGAATGCAGACAGTTGGATTTCATTGATTTTGTAGGTGCAGGCAGCTAAGATGTGGCTGCCTCCCATGAAGGTGATGAGTGACTTTTTATTGTTATTATGTTGCAACACACAACAACGCCAGCAGAGGGCAGGACTACCCTATATAAAACAGCCAGACCTGCACATACTTGCTGTAGGTCTTTGCTAGACCATTTGCTGCTGTCTTACAGCCATTCATTATGATATATTGCAGTTGGAGCAGTAAAATGTTACTTTTCTAAATACCTGTGATGCAGCAACGATTCATCGCTAACGTGACACAGTCTTTCAGGTTGACACCAAGCACTAACTTCATTAGCAATCAACATTCACAATGTTTTTGAAAGTACAGGTTAACTTTTGAATGCCCTGTATGTAGTATTTTGTAGCTGTTTGTTTTGATTAAGTGGGACTTGGTGTATTATTTGGCATCAGAGATGGGTTCAATTCCATTTCAATTCAGGAATAGAATTAACATGAATTGAATTAATTGAAAAGTCCACATAGACCTAACACAAGTCCTTCAGTCTCAGACCCCTCATCACGCGAGCATGGTTCTGTATCGAAACCCTGTCTAAGACCTGAAGACTTGTGTTAGCTTCCCGAGCTCATGCATTAGCTCAGCGGACTTGGCGGATGCTCCTCATTCCTGAACTGGAACCTTGTCTGAGATCTGAAGACTCGTGTTAGCTCCCCCAGTGGGCTAACTTCATCTGCTACTCCTGTATCTATACCTGTGGTGACCTCCTGGATGAGCTCGGCGGCGTTGTGGCAGCCATCCACCAGCATGTGGGTCCAGGCCGAAAGCTCCTTGGCCGAGTCCACCCGGAACAAGTGGGTCTCCACGCCCTGCTTGGTGCCTGTGCGCAGCCCAAAGGAGAGCTCCGAGTCCAGCAGGGGAGAGCTCTTCCCCGGTCCTGAGTGGACCAGTCTGGAGGAGATGGGAAGGGGAGAGAGGGAAGGAATAGAGGGCACAGTAGGCATGATGGAGAGGAGAGAGACAGCAGGCATGATGGAGAGGAGAGAGGAGAGAGACAGTAGGTATGATGGAGAGAGAGGAGAGAGACAGTAGGCATGATGGAGAGAGAGGAGAGAGACAGTAGGCATGATGGAGAGAGAGAGAGAGAGAGGAGAGAGACAGTAGGCATGATGGAGAGAGAGAGAGAGAGAGGAGAGAGACAGTAGGCATGATGGAGAGGAGAGAGACAGTAGGCATGATGGAGAGGAGAGAGACAGTAGGCATGATGGAGAGGAGAGAGACAGTAGGCATGATGGAGAGGAGAGAGAGGAGAGAGACAGTAGGTATGATGGAGAGAGAGAGAGGAGAGAGACAGTAGGTATGATGGGAGAGAGAGAGAGGAGAGAGACAGTAGGTAAGATGGAGAGAGAGAGAGGAGAGAGACAGTAGGTATGATGGAGAGAGAGAGGAGAGACACAGTATGTATGATGGAGAGAGAGAGAGGAGAGAGACAGTAGGTATGATGGAGAGAGAGAGAGGAGAGAGACAGTAGGTATGATGGAGAGAGAGAGAGGAGAGAGACAGTAGGTATGATGGAGAGAGAGAGAGGAGAGAGACAGTAGGTATGATGGAGAGAGAGAGTGGAGAGAGACAGCAGGTATGATGAGAGAGAGAGGAGAGAGACAGTAGGTATGATGAGAGAGAGAGGATGGAGACAGAAAGGGGGAGAGAGGAGAGAGACAGTAGGTATGATGAGAGAGAGAGGATAGAGACAGAAAGGGGGAGAGAGGAGAGAGAGGACAGTAGGTATGATGAGAGAGAGAGGATAGAGACAGAAAAGGGGGAGAGAGGGAGAGAGGACAGTAGGTATGATGAGAGAGAGAGGATAGAGACAGAAAAGGGGGAGAGAGGAGAGAGACAGTAGGTATGATAGAGAGGAGAGAGACAGTAGGTATGAGGAGAGAGAGAGAGCGCGAGACAGCAGGTATTGAGAGAGAGAGAGAGGAGAGAGACAGTAGGTATGATGAGAGAGAGAGGAGAGAGACAGAAAGGGGGAGAGAGGAGAGAGACAGTAGGTATGATGAGAGAGAGGAGAGAGAGTATGTATGATGAGAGAGAGAGGATAGAGACAGAAAGGGGGAGAGAGGAGAGAGACAGTAGGTATGATGATAGAGAGAGAGAGGAGAGAGACAGAAAGGGGGAGAGAGGAGAGAGACACGTAGGTATGAGAGAGAGAGAGGAGAGAGGACAGAAAGGGGGAGGAGGAGAGAGGACAGTAGGTATGATGAGAGGAGAGAGACCGTAGGAGAGGAGGATGAGAGAGGAGAGAAGAGACAGTAGGTATGATAGAGAGAGAGGAGGGAGAGAGAAGCAGGTATGATGAGAGAGAGGGAGGAGACAGTAGGTATGATGAGAGAGAGAGGAGAGAGACAGAAAGGGGGAGAGAGGAGAGAGACAGTAGGTATGATGAGAGAGAGAGGAGAGAGAGTATGTATGATGAGAGAGAGAGGATAGAGACAGAAAGGGGGAGAGAGGAGAGAGACAGTAGGTATGATGAGAGAGAGAGGAGCGACAGAAGAGGGGAGAGAGGGAGAGACAGTAGGTATGATGAGAGAGAGAGGAGAAGGAGAGAGAGACAGTAGGTATGATGGAGAGAGGAGAGAGGAGAGACAGCAGGTATGAAAAGCAGTGTATGATGAGAGGAGAGAGGAGAGAGACAGTAGGTATGATGGAGAGAGAGAGAGGAGAGAGACAGTGTATGATGAGAGAGAGAGAGAGAGAGAGACAGTAGGTATGATGGGAGAGAGAGAGGAGAGAGAGGAGAGAGACAGCGAGGTATGATGAGAGAGAGAGGAGAGGACAGTAGGTGATGAGAGAGGAGAGGAGAGAGACAGAAGGTGAGAGAGAGGAGAGAGGAGAGGACAGTAGGTATGATGGAGAGAGAGGAGGAGGAGAGAGAGAGAGAGTATGATGGAGAGAGAGAGGTAGAGACAGAGGGGAGATGAGAGGAGGAGAGACAGTAGGTATGATGGAGAGAAGAGAGGAGAGAGACAGTAGGTATGATGGAGAGAGAGAGAGAGGAGAGAAGCAGTAGATGGGAGACAGTAGTATGTGAGGAGAGAGAGAGGAGAGAGACAGTAGGTATGATGGAGAGAGAGAGAGGAGAGAGACAGTAGGTATGATGAGAGAGAGAGAGGAGAGAGACAGTAGGTATGATGGAGAGAGAGAGAGGAGAGAGACAGTAGGTATGATGAGAGAGAGAGAGGAGAGAGAGCAGTATGGTATGATGGAGAGAGAGAGGTAGAGAAGAGAGAGGGAGAGGAGAGACAGTAGGTATGATGGAGAGAGAGAGAGGAGAGAGACAGTAGGTATGATGGAGAGAGGAGGAGAGGAGAGACAGTAGGTATGATGAGAGAGAGAGGAGAGGAGACAGTAGGATGAGAGAGAGAGAGAGAGGAGAGAGAAGTAGGTTGGATGGAGAGGAGAAGAGAGGAGGAGAGACGTAGGTGATGATGAGAGAGAGAGAGGAGAGAGACAGTAGGTCTGATGGAGAGAGAGAGGAGAGAGACAGTAGAGTATGATGAGAGAGAGAGAGAGGAGAGAGACAGTAGGATGAGGAGAGAGAGGAGAGATAGGAGAGAGAGAGAGAGGAGAGAGACAGAAAGGGGGAGATAGGAGAGAGACAGAAAGGGGGAGAGGGGAGAGAGACAGAAAGGGGGAGAGAGGAGAGAGACAGAAAGGGGGAGAGAGGAGAGGTAGAAACAGAGAAAGGAAAGAAAGAGAACAGAGAAAGAGTGGAAAAAGAGGGAGAAAGCAACATGAGGGGTGGAGAACACATTACTGATAACGTGCTGGTTTTCCTAATCGTTTGCACATGAAAATGAGATCATGCTAGAACATTTTCAATGGACCATTTATGGAAGATTATTAAATATGCCAAAACTATAATTCAACATTTCTTCACGATAGCCCAGTTTGGGTGTTTAAGTATGACTTGCTGTTTGGCCAGGATGTCTTGACTGACTAGCTTTAAATACAGTGCAGACAAACAGGGTAGTGTGTGTACACGTGAATAGGTGTCCCTCCTAGTTGATATGAGATAATGACTGACTTAATGATCATTCTAATATATGATACTATATATACAGTATATTTAAAAAGTGACTGCTTTTAATTGCATACAATGCAATATACACTGAGTATATCAAACATTAGGAACACCTTCCTAATATTGAGTTGCACCAGCCTCAATTCGTCAGGGCATGGACTCTACAAGGTGTCAAAAGCGTTCCACAGGGATGTTGGCCAATGTTGACTCCAATGCTTCCCACAGTTGTGTCAAGTTGGCTGGATGTCCTTTGGGTGGTGGACCATTCTTGACACACATGGGAAACTGTTGAGTGTGAAAAACCCAGCAGCGTTGCAGTTCTTGACACAAACCGGTGCGCCTGGCACCTACTACCATACCCTGTTCAAAGGCACTTAAATATTTTGTCTTGCCCATTCACAAATAGGAAATTTGACTGGCTAGTTTGGGAGGAGATTTGACTGACTGGTCTGGAAGGAGATTTGACTGGCTGGTTTCGAAGGAGATTTGTCTGGCTGGTCTGTAAGGAGATTTGACTGGCTATAAAGTTATAAAACCTTGTAGGGTTAAACCTTTCTACGCCCCTTTTCGTTACTATTTGTGTGATGTATCTGCCAGGTCTGACTGCATTATTTGCACTGGCAAATCAAAGATGGCCACCATAGCCATTTCCATTGCTCATCCCTTTAAGAGAGCATTAAAGCAGTGTTCACATTGGCAGTTTGAAGTGACTCAAATGTGATTCGAATCTGTTCTTTTTCCTGCATTCTGAACAGCCAAAAGTCACATGGAATCAGATATTTCAAACCACATTTCAAACTATCTTCGTAGGTGGTTTGAAGTTAGATACAAATCTGATTCCTGGCCATGTGCCTTGTGTCTGAACGGTCAAATCTGATTTATTTGCCCTCAAGTGGTTTTTAGACTGTTATTTGGCATATATTTTTGCTTGCTAGCTACTCTGTTGACAGTTTGACAAGAACATGTGGTAGCTAATTAGCTTGTTAATTGTTTACAAACAAATTAGTGAATGTGCTAGAAAGCTAAACAGCTACCTAGCTAGCTAGTTGACTGCTGTGGCTAGCCAAAAAGGACTCGATTTGAAAGTTGGATAATCTTATCCTTTGAGGCTTTAAAAGTTTTCCTACACTATGATTTATAACATTCAAAGCAACTGGGAATCATCCATGGCAGGCATTGTTATCACCTTAGCTTGCTACAAAACAACTTCTGAGTGATAGGAAGCAGGAGCACCACCACCAATCAGCCTACACCCCTGAGCACACACCCGTCATTACTATGACAACTAGCATAGCCATGTCAGCAAATGACTGCTGTCTGAACACACACAAATCCGATTTGGTCACTTATCTCTTGCTGTTTGGACATTCAGTATTCCAAAACGGATTTGAAAAAAAAACTGATTTGAGCATTATGGCCTGCAGTGTGAACAAGGCTTAAGAGCTTTAAGAAAAGGCCGCTTTTTGGTGAGGTTTTATATGTTAAAAAGCCTTTAGCAGCCTAGAAATAGACAAATAATATTATATATATATACTGCTCATTTTCGTGGACTAAACTCAGCCATCAATGGATACTGTGTTTTGTGAAAATGTCTATTTGACTTGCTGGTTTTGAAAGATATTTAACCGCCTGGTCGAAGTGCAGTGCAACGGTTTTACTGTCTCTATCCTACCTGGTTGTGATGAGCGGATGGCTCTTGGCTGGGCTGTTGATGCTGTCCTTACTGTCAGGAAGGGTGGGGTACAGCAGCAGGTCTCTCTCAGTTAGCAGAGCCAGCACCGGTCTCTCTGGACCCTGGGTCGCCTTGACAGAGAGGAGGACAAACAGACAGACACACACACAGAGACAGACACACGCACAAACATACACACACAGAGACAGGCACACACACACACACATAAACACTTTTTATGACTCAAATATCACAACATATTTACACATCCTTATGAATGTAATACACACACTGTCACATATTTCAATACTTCCTTGACAAAAGGTTAACATCAAATATTATTTTCAATTCCATACTGAAGTACAAGCGAGGGGAATGTGTAACAACATAATTTATCCTGGATCATAACAATGGGTATCTTGTTAATGACTGTCACGTTCGTTCATGAACGGGTCAGACCAAGGCGCAGCGTGATATGCATACATGTTTATTTGACATATAAACACAACGACAAAACAAGAAACGAAACGTGAAGTCCAAGGTACACAAACAACCTACCTAACACGGAACAAGATCCCACAACCCACTAGTGCCAATAGGCTGCCTAAGTATTGTCCCCAATCAGAGACAATGAGCGACAGCTGCCTCTGATTGGGAACCACACCGGCCAACATAGAAATACCCATACTAGATATAAACATAGAACTACACAACATAGAATATACACACCCTGACTCCACAAATAAGCGTCCCCAGAGTCAGGGCGTGACAGTACCCCCCCCCCCCCCCCCCCAAAGGTGCGGACTCCGACCGCACAACCTTTAACAGGGTAGGGGCCGTGTGGGCATTCCACCTCGGAGGCGGATCCGGCTCCGGGCGTGACAACCACCTATTCTCCGCCTCCCTGTTGCGCCCCTGGTCTGGTCTGGACCTCGGCGCGCTGCTTCCCCTCTCCTTCCTCCCACTATACTCCAAGCCCTGTCTGGACCCTGGTGTGGGAGACCCCGAACCTGGAGAGGGGCTGACGTCTGGGTCTGGACTGGAGCCGCTGACCGGAGCTGGTCCGGGCACCGGTGGAGCGGACTGCTCAGGCTCCGGACTAGAGCCGCTGACCGGATCTGGACTAGACCCCGGTGGAGCGGACTGCTCTGGCTGCGGAGTGGAGCCGCTGACCGGAGCTGGATCAGGCACCGGTGGAGCGGACTGCTCTGGCTCCGGACTGGAGCTGCTGACTGGTGCCGGACCAGGCACCGGTGGAACGGGCACGGGCCGTGCCGGACTGGACACACTCACCACTGGTCTGGTGCGAGGAGCAGGCACGGGCCGAACCGGACTAGGAACATGCACCACTGGCTTGGTGCGAGAAGCAGTAACAGGCCGGGCCGGGCTGGCGACGCGCACCACTTGACTTGGTGCGAGGGACAGGAACAGGCCGGGCCGGGCTGGCGACGCGCACCACTGGCTTGGTGCGAGGGACAGGAACAGGCCGGGCCGGGCTGGCGACGCGCACCACTGGCTTGGTGCGAGGGACAGGAACAGGCTGGGCCGGGCTGGCGACGCGCACCACTGGCTTGGTGCGAGGGACAGGAACAGGCCGGGCCGGCGACGCGCACCACTGGCTTGGTGCGAGGGACAGGAACAGGCCGGGCCGGGTTGGCGACGCGCACCACTGGCTTGGTGCGAGGGACAGGAACAGGCCGGGCCGGGCTGGCTACGCACACCACTGGCTTGGTGCGAGGGGCAGGAACAGGCCGGGCCGGCGACGTGCACCACTGGCTTGGTGCGAGGGACAGGAACAGGCCGGGCCGGGCTGGCGAAGCGCACCACTAGCTTGGTGTGAGGAGCAGGAACAGGCCGGGCCGGGCTGGCGACGCGCACCACTAGCTTGGTGCGAGGGGCAGGAACAGGCCGGGCTGGGCTGGCGACGCGCACCACTAGCTTGGTGCGAGGGACAGGAACAGGCCAGGCCGGAAACGCGCACCACTGGCTTGGTGCGAGGGGCAGGAACAGGCCGGGCCGGGCTGGCGACGTGCACCACTGGCTTGGTGCGAGGGACAGGAACAGGCCGGGCCGGGCTGGCGACGCGCACCACTGGTTTGGTGCGAGGGGCAGGAACAGGCTGGGCCGGGCTGGCAACGCGCACCACTGGCTTGGTGCGAGGGACAGGAACAGGCCGGGCCGGGCTGGCGACGCGCACCACTGGCTTGGTGCAAGGAACAGGAACAGGCCGTGCCGGGCTGGCGACGTGCACCACTAGCTTGGTGCGAGGGGCAGGAACAGGCCGGACCGGGCTGGCAACGCGCACCACTGGCTTGGTGCGAGGGTCAGGAACAGGCCGGGCCGGGCTGGCGATGCGCACCACTAGCTTGGTGCGAGGGACAGGAACAGGCCGGGCCGGGCTGGCGACGCGCACCACTGGCTTGGTGTGAGGTACAGGAACAGGCCGGACCGGGCTGGCGAAGCGCACCACTGGCTTAGTGCGGGGAGCAGGAACGGGCCGGACCGGACTGGCGACACGCACCACTTGCTTGATGCGTGGAGCGGGACTGGGTTCCTTTATTAACCCCCGCTCCTTCTGCTGCCTAACCAGCTCCTCTCGCCGTGCCTCTACACTTTCCTTCTCCCTTTTAGCCTCCTGTAGCCTCGTCATCCACCCCGTGTGCCCCCCCCAAAAAAATTATTGGGGTTGCCTCTCGGGTCTCCGTCGTCGGCACGGTTGGCACCGTTTCACCTCTCCTGCCTGGGCATCTACCTTCGCCCATGGCCCTTTCCCCGCAAATATCTCCTCCCATGACCACCATTTGCCCACCTGTGACATGGCTATTCACTCTTCCTGGGCACGCTGCTTGGTCCTCGTTTGGTGGGATCTTCTGTCACGTTCATTCATGAACGGGTCAGACCAAGGCGCAGCGTGATATGCATTCATGTTTATTTGACTTATAAACACAACTACGAAACGTGAAGTCCAAGGTACACAAACAACCTACCTAACACGGAACAAGATCCCACAACCCACTAGTGCCAATAGGCTGCCTAAGTATGGTCCCCAATCAGAGACAACGAGCGACACCTGCCTCTGATTGGGAACCACACCGGCCAACATAGAAATACCCATACTAGATATAAACATAGAACTACACAACATAGAATATACACACCCTGACTCCACAAATAGGAGTCCCCAGAGTCAGGGCGTGACAATGACTATGTATTCAGTTCCATTTTGCTATTTTCATTCCAAAGAATGTCAGCATTCACAGTGGGCAAGGACACTTAAAAACATCGACAGAAATATTTATTTAGAAAATTCAATGTCTTGTGGGTCTTTAATGGTCCTGTTCCGTCCATCAAAGGATTTTAGACGTTGTTGTCTTTGTTGTTGGGTTTTCAACAATATACGTTGCATATGTTTAATTATTTTCCCTTTTCAAGGGACATACGACTTATTAACTGGCAGCTCCTTAGCACAAGGCTAGCGCAAACACTATTCTCAGAAAGTCACTTTCAATAGACTAAACAGACAGTAGACTACTCGCTAATGCAATTAAACAGAGCACAGTGTTTGGGTCAGACATTCCTTATTTCACTCTGTTCATTGCTAATCTGGCCTTCGCATTGCTAAAATGCTAACAAATAAACCAGATTACATTTTCAGTCACAACAGCTGATGTTATGGACAATGTTTATTGGAACGCACTCAAGTGACACATTAGATGACTAGCCAATAGAGAGGCCTGTCTTGGTTAGGTTCTTACCATTTGTCAAAACTAACAAGTAAATAAATAATTGCGGCAAGACCTGGGATCAAATACTATTTGAAATAATTTCAAATACTTTATCTGTGCTTGATTGAGCTTGTCTGTTGCGATAGAACCAACAGAAAAGTCCAGGAAGTACAAAAGCCCACCCACCTGGGACTCCAGGCAGGCTAAAGCAAATGCTCAAAGTAATTATTTGAACCCAGGGCAGGCAGCCATAAATAGAAATGCATGAACTCAAATTTGACCTTTGACTCTTTGTACCTGTTCAGTGATCCATCCCATGTGTTTGACCTCCAGGCCCGCCTGCATGGCCCTCAGCTCGCCCCTAACTTGGGGCACCAGGGCCGAGGCCCCGGCTTGGATGGCGTTGTACCAGGACTGGGCCATAGCAGGATCCTTGGCCCTCAGGAACACTGAGTTCTTTCTGCTGGACGAGATCACCTCAAAGTACCTGTGTGGAGGGGAGAGAGGGAGCGGGAAAGGGGGAGCGAGAGGAGACAGAAAGAGAGAGAGAGGGGGTGAAGTGAGAGGCAGGGAGAAAGAAAATAGGTAAGGACAGGAAAGGGAGAGACGAACACAAGAAAACAGTGTTAGCTGTGGTCAGGTCCCTGGAGAATGCACTAAAATCAATTTTGATGACCCTTGAAGTTGAGGAGGGTCAATTAGCTTGCCTCCTGTTACAAATGAATTTGCATACTATTAAAATTCTCCTCTCCTTTACCTCTGGACAAAGCTGGTCTTAGCAGTAATGCAGTTGGTTATGGCATAGATTTTGACAACGGAAGCGCAGCCTATCCAGCCGCGACGCTCCTGTTATTATTTTGGATGTGCGTAAAAACCCCTCCATGTAGGCTATATTCCCATCATGGAACAAGAAATGAGATAATCCGGTGACTCTCATATTCAGAAATATTTAAGTTATTTAGCAGACGCTCTTATCCAGAGCGACTTACAGAAGCAATTAGGGTTAAGTGCCTTGCTCAAGGGCACATCGACAGATTTTTCACCTAGTCAGCTTGGAGATTTTTGTGGGAGGTAGGAACACAAGCATTTCGCTACACTCGCAATAACATCTACTTAATATGTGTACGCGACCAATCAAATTAGATTTGATTTTGATTCGAACCAGCGATATTTTGGTTACTGGCCCAACGCTCTTAACCGATACAATATGTATTGCAAGTACAGCCAACTAGCGCAAAAATAATATTGTTAAATTGTCAAAACGATACGATATATCGTCCAAAATAATATCCCGAAATGTAACAGTATACATTTTTGCCCCCATCACTAGTCAATTACCTACAGAACTTGAGACAAACGTATGCAGTATCACACCTACAACTTGTTTATTCATCAAAACCCAGTCCTTTCTCGCCTCTGCCAGCAATTGCGCTCATAATAACGTCTGTGAAAATAGCAAAAATATTTCCGACACACCACCAGATCTATAGCACTACCGCCAGCGCTTAGATTTACCATTGCGTTTGTATTTGTATTTATTAGGGATCCCCATTAGCTGCTGCCAAGGTCTGGGGTCCAAACATATTAAAGCACTTACATTACATATAAAACAAAATATAAAACAGTACATCATATGACATTATTACACCACTACCTACAGTTGAAGTCAGAAGTTTACATACACCTTAGCCAAATACATTTAAACTCAGTTTTTCACAATTCCTGACATTTAATCCTAGTAGAAATTCCATGTCTTAGGTCAGTTTATTTTAAGAATGTGAAATGTCAGAATAACAGTAAAGAGAATGATTTATTTCAGCTTTTATTTCTTTCATCACATTCCCAGTGAGTCAGAAGTTTACATACACTCAATTAGTATTTGGTAGCATTGCCTTTAAATTGTTTAACTTGGGTCAAAAGTTTCGAGTAGCCTTCCACAAGCTTCCCACAATAAGTTGGGTGAATTTTGGCCCATTCCTCCTGACAGAGCTGGTGTAACTGAGTCAGGTTTGTAGGCCTCCTTGCTCACACATGCTTTTTCAGTTCTGCCCACAAATGTTCTATAGAATTGAGGTCAGGGCTTTGTGATGGCCACTCCAATACCTTTACTTTGTTGTCCTTAAGCCATTTTGCCACAACTTTGGAAGTATGCTTGGGGTCATTGTCCATTTGGAAGACCCATTTGCGACCAAGCTTTAATTTCCTGACTGATGTCTTGAGATGTTGCTTTAATATATCCACATAATTTTCCTTCCTCAAGATGCCATCTATTTTGTGAAGTGCACCTGTCCCTCCTGCAGCAAAGCACCCCCACAGCATGATGCTGCCACCCCTGTGCTTCATGGTTGGGATGGTGTTCTTCGGCTTGCAAGCATCCCCCTTTTTCCTCCAAACATAACAATGGTCATTATGGCCAAACAGTTCTATTTTTGTTTCATCAGACCAGCGGACATTTCTCCAAAAAGTACGATCTTTGTCCCCATGTGCAGTTGCAAACCGTAGTCTGGCTTTTTTATGGCGGTTTTGGAGCAGTGGCTTCTTCCTTGCTGAGCGGCCTTTCAGGTTATGTCGATATAGGACTCGTTTTACTGTGGATATTTATATTTTTGTACCTGTTTCCTACAGCATCTTCACAAGGTCCTTTGCTGTTGTTCTGGGATTGATTTGCACTTTTCGCACCAAAGTACGTTAATCTCTAGGAGACAAAACATGTCTCCTTCCTGAGCGGTATGACAGCTGTGTGGTCCCATGGTGTTTATACTTGCGTACTATTGTTTGTACAGATGAACGTGGTACCTTCAGGTGTTTGGAAATTGCTCCCAAGGATGAACCAGACTTGTGGAGTTCTACAATTTTCTTTCTGAGGTCTTGGCCACAGGTACACCTCCAATTGACTCAAATTATGTAAATTAGCCTATCAGAAGCTTCTAAAGCCATGACATCATTTTCTGGAATTGTCCAAGCTGTTTAAAGGCACAGTCAACTTAGTGTATGTAAACTTCTGACCCACTGGAATTGTGATACAGTGAATTATAAGTGAAATCATCTGTCTGTAAACAATTGTTGGAAAAATTACTTGTGTCATGGACAAGGTAGATGTCCTAACCGACTTGCCAAAACTATAGTTTGTTAACAAGAAATGTGTGGAGTGGTTGAAAAACGAGTTTTAATGACTCCAACCTAAGTGTATGTAAACTTCCGACTTCAACTGTATCTACAATACAAAATGTTTAATACCACCATACAACAATATCACAATGTGTGCGTATGCATGTGTCTATACCCTTGTGTGTGTCTCTTCACAGTCCCCGTTGTTCCATACAGTGTATTTTTACCTGTTTTTTAATCTGATTCTACTGCTTGCATCAGTTACCTGATGTGGAATAGAGTTCCATGTAGTCATGGCTCTATGTAGTACTGTGCGCCTCCCATAGTCTGTTCTGGACTTGGGGACTGTGAAGAGACCTCTGGTGGCATGTCTTGTGGTGTATGCATGGGTTTCCGAGCTGTGTGATAGTAGTTTAAACAGAGAGCTCGGTACATTCAGCTTGTCAACACCTCTTACAAAAACAAGCAGTGATGAAGTCAATCTCTCTTCCACTCTGAGCCAGGAGAGACTGACATGCAAGTCATTAATATTAGCTCTCCGTTTACTTTTAAGGGCCAGCCGTGCTGCCCTGTTCTGAGCCAACTGCAATTTTCCCAAGTCCCTCCTTGTGGCACCTGACCACACTACTGAACAGTAGTCTAGTTGTGACAAAACTTGAGCCTGTAGGACCTGCCTTGTTGATAGTGTTAAGAAGGCAGATCAGCGCTTAATTATGGACACACTTCTCCCCATCTTAGCTACTGTTGTATCAATATGCTTTGACCATGACAGTCTACAATCCGGGGTTACTCCAAGCAGTTTAGTCTCCTCAACTTGCTCAATTTCCACATTATTCATTACGAGATTCATTAGTTGAGGTTTAGGGTTTAGTGAATGATTTGACCCAAATACAATGCATTTAGTTTTGGAAATATTCAGGACTAACTTAATCCTTGCCACCCATTCCGAACCTAACTGCAACTCTTTGTTAAGTGTTGCAGTTATTTCAGTTGCTGTAGTAGCTGACGTGTATGGTGTTTAGTCATCCACATAGACACACTGGCTTTACTCAAAGCCAGTGGCATGTCGTTAGTAAAGATGGAAAAAAGCAAGGGGCCTAGACAGCTGCCCTGGGGAATTCCTGATTCTACCTGGAGATGTTTGAGAGGCTTCCATTAAAGAACACCCTCTGTGTTCTGTTAGACAGGTAACTCTTTATCCACATTATAGCAGGGGGTGTAAAGCCATAACACATACGTTTTTCCAGCAGCAGACTATGATCGATAATGTCAAAAGCCACACTGAAGTCTAACAAAACAGCCCCCACAATCTTTTTAACATCAATTTCTCTAGGCCAATCATCAGTCATTTGTGTAAGTGCTGTGCCTGTTGAATGTCCTTCTCTATAAGCATGCTGAAAGTTTGTTGTCAATTTGTTTACAGTAAAATAGCATTGTATCTGGTCAAACACAATTTTTTCCAATAGTTTACTAAGGGTTGGTAACAGGCTAATTGGTTGGCTATTTGAGCCAGTAAAGGGGGCTTTACTATTCTTAGGTAGCGGAATGACTTTTGCTTCCCTCCAAGCCTGGGGGCACATACATTCTATTAGGCTTAAATTGAAAATATGGCAAATAGGAGTGGCAATATTGTCCGTTATTTCCTCAGCAATTTTCCATCCAAGTTGTCAGACCCCGGTGGCTTGTCATTGTTAATAGACAACAATCATTTTTTCACCTCTTCCACACTCACTTTATGCAATTCAAAATTACAATGCTTGTCTTTCATAATTTGGTCAGATATACTTGGATGTGTAGTGTCAGAAATTGTTGCTGGCATGTCATGCCTAAGTTTTCTAATCTTGCCAATGAAATCATTATTAAAGTAGTTGGCAATATCAGTTGGTTTTGTGATGAATGAGTCATCTTATTCAATGAATGATGGAGCTGAGTTTGCCTTTTTCCCAACATTTAATTTAAGGTGCTCCAAAGCTTTTTACTATCATTCTTTATGTAATTTATCCTTGTTTCATAGTGTTGTTTCTTCTTCTTTTTATTCAGTTTAGTCACATGATTTCTCAATTTGCAATATGTTTGCCAATCGGTTGTGCAGCCAGACTTATTTGCCATTCCTTTTGCCTCATCCCTCTCAACCATTACATTTTTCAATTCCTCATCAATCCATGGGGACTTAACAGTTTGTACCGTCATTTTCATAATGGGTGTATGCTTATTAGTAACAGGAATAAGCAATTTCATAAATTTGTCAAGTGCAGCATCTGGTTGCTCCACAGACCAACACATATTTTTTACATCAACAACATAGGAATCACTACAAAACTTATTGTATGACCTCTTATACATTATATTAGGCCCAGCATTTGGAACTTTGGTTTTCCTAGATATGGCTACTATATTGTGATCACTACATCCGATGGATTTGGATTCTGCTTTAAAGCTAATTTCTGCAGCATTATTAAAGATGTGATCAATACATGTTGATGATTTCATTCCTGTGCTGGTTGTAACTACCGTGGTAGGTTGACTGATAACCTGAACCAGGTTGCAGGCACTAGTTAAAGTTTGAAGCTTTCTCTTGTGGGGGCAGCCTGATGAAAGCCAGTCAATATTTAAATCACCCAGAAAATATACATCTCTGTTGATATCACATACATTATCAAGCATTTCACACATGCTATCCAGATACTGACTGTTAGCACTTGGTGGTCTATAGCAGCTTCCCACCAGAATTGGCTTTAGGTGAACCTGTAGCCATATTACTTCAACAGTATTTAACATGAGATCCTCTCTAATCTTCACAGGAATGTGGTTCTGAATATAAACAGCAACACCTCCACCATTGGCATTTCTATATTTTCTGTAAATGTTATAACCTTGTATTGCTACCACTGTATCATCACAGGTATTATCTAAGTGAGTTTCAGAGATAGTCAGAATATGAATGTCATCTGTTACTAACAAATTATTGATTTCAAGAACCTTGTTTCTTAAGCTACATATGTTAACGTGGGCTATTTTGAGCACTTTTCTTCTGGGATGCTTATTTGTTTTTATTGCTTTACTGGCAGTAGATGTGCTCATGTTCTTTATGTTAGTGCAGGATGAGCTGCACACAGTTGACTGCCTCCTCGGGCACACCGGCTCAGTGCTAACAGTATAAATCTGGTTCCTAGGCACATGATCACTGCACACAACAGCTGCAGAATCAGCAGAGGCACCCAGGGCAGCTAGAGGGACACAAACCAGGTTACCCACATTGTGTCTACCGACGCCCCTGATGTAATGTACATTTGCTGAAGCATTTTGACAACTCTGCGTCACAATGGTAGGGATTAGTTGAGCTGGGCTTGGGTCATTGCTAAGTCATTGTCTCAACGCAGCCTTATAATGCTGTGACAGGATCCAGGAACCCAAATGATTTGGGGTCCTCTGTAGCTCAATTGGTAGAGCATGGCGCTTGTAACGCCAGGGTAGTGGGTTCGATCCCCGGGACCACCCATATGTAAAAATGTATGCACACATGACTGTAAGTCGCTTTGGATAAAAGCGTCTGCTAAATGGCATATTATTATTTATTTGGGTGGATCCCATCCTTATAAAATATGTTTTGTTTCCAAACGGTATCAAAATTGTCCACAAAAGTTACACCCATTGAGCTGCAATAATCACGTAGCCAGTTGTGAAGGCCAAGAATCCTGCTAAAGAGTTCAATTCCACGATTCAGAGAGGGCACAGGACCAGATATGATGGGTTTTTTGTTAGTGTCTAGCAGAGAGTCAATCAGCTCTTTAAAATCCAGTTCCAACTGTTCAGAGCGTTAGGTTTGTTCAAATAGGGACTGGGGTCTGTTGATCGAAACGTTGGTTTGCGAGCGATTGAAGCTCATTGTGGAGAGTACGAGATAACCCAATACCAGTGTGCTGGAGATACTTCTTGAAATATTTCAATATTTTCACCTGGAATGACCCATAAGGTGTGAGATACGGAGAGGGGTGAAGCAGGACCCAGACACCCTATTGCTCCACTACATGCCTTTAAATAGGCTTAGTACAACATCGTTAGGATCCAAGAGAGGACTTTGTCCAGCCATTGGCTACGAAAGTCTAACCAGAGGGGACATCTGGAGCTCAGGGTCCATATTCACAAAGCGCCTCATAGTAGGAGTGCTTATCTAGGATCAGTTTTGTATTTTAGATCATAATGAATAAGATTATATGGACAGACCCTAGATCAGTTCTCCTACTCTGAGATACAGGTCCAGACCTAAGCTTTGTGGATACAGGTCCAGACCTAAGCTTTGTGGATACAGGTCCAGACCTAAGCTTTGTGGATACAGGTCCATACCTAAGCTTTGTGGATACAGGTCCATACCTAAGCTTTGTGGATACAGGTCCAGACCTAAGCTTTGTGGATACAGGTCCATACCTAAGCTTTGTGGATACAGGTCCAGACCTAAGCTTTGTGGATACAGGTCCATACCTAAGCTTTGTGGATACAGGTCCAGACCTAAGCTTTGTGGATACAGGTCCATACCTAAGCTTTGTGGATACAGGTCCAGACCTAAGCTTTGTGGATACAGGTCCATACCTAAGCTTTGTGGATACAGGTCCAGACCTAAGCCTTGTGGATACAGGTCCAGACCTAAGCTTTGTGGATACAGGTCCATACCTAAGCTTTGTGGATACAGGTCCAGACCTAAGCTTTGTGGATACAGGTCCAGACCTAAGCTTTGTGGATACAGGTCCAGACCTAAGCTTTGTGGATACAGGTCCATACCTAAGCTTTGTGGATACAGGTCCATACCTAAGCTTTGTGGATACAGGTCCAGACCTAAGCTTTGTGGATACAGGTCCAGACCTAAGCTTTGTGGATACAGGTCCATACCTAAGCTTTGTGGATACGGGTCCATACCTAAGCTTTGTGGATACAGGTCCAGACCTAAGTTTTGTGGATACAGGTCCAGACCTAAGCTTTGTGGATACAGGCCCAGACCTTTGTAGATATAGGCCTAGAACTTGGGTGAGAAAATGGAGCGCTACTTTGCATCAGGTAAATAATAAAACGTAGAGTGCTTGTTACATTCAAGGGGCCTTGATTTAAATTCCAAAAGGAGCGCCTTGTGGGTCTTCTGACTTGATGAACATCTTACTGAATTCAAGATACAAGCTATCATACCCAGTTTCTCTCTCTTTGTCTCTCTGTCCCTCTCTCTGTCCGTCTCTCTGCCTCTCTCTCTGTCCCTCTCTCTCTGTTTCTCTCTCTCCCTCTCTGTCCCTATCTCTGTCTCTCTCTCTGTCCCTCTCTCTCTCTCTCTCTCTCTCTCTCTGTTTCTCTCTCTCCCCCTCTGTCCCTATCTCTGTCCCTCTCTCTCTCTCTCTCTGTCCCTCTCGCTCTCTCTCTGTTTCTCTCTCTCCCTCTCTGTCCCTATCTCTGTCTCTCTCTCTGTCCCTCTCTCTCTCTCTCTCTCTCTCGCTCTGTTTCTCTGTTCTCTCTCCCCCTCTATCCCTATCTCTGTCCCTCTCTCTCTCCTCTCCCTCTCCTTGTCCCTCTTCTCCTCCTCCCCTCGTTCTCTTTTCTCCTTCTCCTCTCTCTCCTCTCTCCTCTCTGTCTCTCTCCTCTCCCTTGTCTCCTCATCTCCTCGTCTCTCTTCTCTCCCCTCTCTCTCTCTCCTCTCCTCTCTTCTCTCTCTCTCTCTCCTCTTCTTCTCTCCCCGCTCTGTCCTCTCTCTCTCCGCTCGTCTCTCTTCCTCTCTCCCCTCTGTCTCTCTTTCTCCTCTCCCCCTCTGTCTCTGCTCTGCTCTCTCCCCCTCTTCTCTCTCCCCCCTCTTCTCTCTCCTCTCCCCTCTGTCTCTCTCCCCTCCCCCTCTGTCCTCTCTCCCCTCTCCCCCTTGATCTCTTCCCCCTCTCCCCTACTGTCCCCTCCCCCTGTCTGTCTGTCTCTCTCCCCCCTCCTGTGTCGTCTCTCTGCCCCCCTCTCCCCCCTCTCCCCCCTGTCTGTCTCTCTCCCCCTCTCCCCCCCCCCCCCTCTCTCTCTCTCTCTCTCTCTCTCTGATCATGTAACTCAGTTCCCCATTGAACTGGGTTCCACCCACAGTACCTGTTCTCTGTGTCCGGGGGGCACTGCTTCCTGGTCACCTGGCACATTTTCAGGGGGATGGTCCTGGCCTCCTTCAGCTCAGCAGGTGGGGCGTCTGCGCCCTTCTGTGGCGTGGCATGGGGGGAGTCCCAGGGTGCACCGGGGGAGGTGTTTTTAAAAAAGGCTGACATCTCCTTGATGTATTTCACTGAAAGAGGAAAAAGAGACTAGGAGGAGTTGTCACATATCCCTGGATTCATATTGTCACATATCCCTGGATTCATATTGTCACATTTCCCTGGATTCATATTGTCACATATCCCTGGATTCATATTGTCACATATCCCTGGATTCATATTGTCACATATCCCTGGATTCATATTGTCACATATCTCTGGATTCATATTGTCACATATCTCTGGATTCATATTGTCACATATCTCTGGATTCATATTGTCACATATCCCTGGATTAATATTGTCACATTTCCCTGGATCCATATTGTCACATATCCCTGGATTCATATTGTCACATATCCCTGGATTCATATTGTCACATTTCCCTGGATTCATTTTGTCAAATATCCCTGGATTCATATTGTCACATATCCCTGGATTCATATTATCACATATCCCTGGATTCATATTATCACATATCCCTGGATTCATATTGTCACATATCCCTGGATTCATATTGTCACATATCCCTGGCCCAACCTAGTTGTTGTTTTAGGGAGGATTCATATTGTCACATATCCCTGGATTCACATTGTCACATATCCCTGGATTCATATTGTCACATATCCCTGGATTCATATTGTCACATATCCCTGGCCCAACCTAGTTGTTGTTTTAGGGAGGATTCATATTGTCACATATCCCTGGATTCATATTGTCACATATCCCTGGATTCATATTGTCACATATCCCTGGATTCATATTGTCACATATCCCTGGATTCATATTATCACATATCCCTGGATTCATATTGTCACATATCCCTGGATTCATATTGTCACATATCCCTGGATTCATATTGTCACATATCCCTGGATTCATATTGTCATATACAGTGGGGGGGAAAAGTATTTAGTCAGCCACCAATTGTGCAAGTTCTCCCACTTAAAAAGATGAGAGAGGCCTGTAATTTTCATCATAGGTACACGTCAACTATGACAGACAAAATGAAAAAAAAAATTCCAGAAAATCACATTGTAGGATTATTAATGAATTTATTAGCAAATTATGGTGGAAAATAAGTATTTGGTCAATAACAAAAGTTTCTCAATACTTTGTTATATACCCTTTATTGGCAATGACACAGGTCAAACGTTTTCTGTAAGTCTTCACAAGGTTTTCACACACTGTTGCTGGTATTTTGGCCCATTCCTCCATGCAGATCTCCTCTAGAGCAGTGATGTTTTGGGGCTGTCGCTGGGCAACACGGACTTTCAACTCCCTCCAAAGATTTTCTATGGGGTTGAGATCTGGAGACTGGCTAGGCTACTCCAGGACCTTGAAATGCTTCTTACGAAGCCACTCCTTCGTTGCCTGGGCGGTGTGTTTGGGATCATTTTCATGCTGAAAGACCCAGCCACGTTTCATCTTCAATGCCCTTGCTGATGGAAGGAGGTTTTCATTCAAAATCTCACGATACATGGCCCCATTCATTCTTTCCTTTACACAGATCAGTCGTCCTGGTCCCTTTGCAGAAAAACAGCCCCAAAGCATGATGTTTCCACCCCCATGCTTCACAGTAGGTATGGTGTTCTTTGGATGCAACTCAGCATTCTTTGTCCTCCAAACACGACGAGTTGAGTTTTTACCAAAAAGTTATATTTTGGTTTCATCTGACCATATGACATTCTCCCAATCCTCTTCTGGATTATCCAAATGCACTCTAGCAAACTTCAGACGGGCCTGGACATGTACTGGCTTAAGCAGGGGGCCACGTCTGGCACTGCAGGATTTTAGTCCCTGGCGGCGTAGTGTGTTACTGATGGTAGGCTTTGTTACTTTGGTCCCAGCTCTCTGCAGGTCATTCACTAGGTCCCCCCATGTGGTTCTGGGATTTTTGCTCACCGTTCTTGTGATCATTTTGACCCCACGGGGTGAGATCTTGCGTGGAGCCCCAGATCGAGGGAGATTATCAGTGGTCTTGTATGTCTTCCATTTCCTAATAATTGCTCCCACAGTTGATTTCTTCAAACCAAGCTGCTTACCTATTGCAGATTCAGTCTTCCCAGCCTGGTGCAGGTCTACAATTTTGTTTCTGGTGTCCTTTGACAGCTCTTTGGTCTTGGCCATAGTGGAGTTTGGAGTGTGACTGTTTGAGGTTGTGGACAGGTGTCTTTTATACTGATAACAAGTTCAAACAGGTGCCATTAATACAGGTAACGAGTGGAGGACAGATGAGCCTCTTAAAGAAGAAGTTACAGGTCTGTGAGAGCCAGACATCTTGCTTGTTTGTAGGTGACCAAATACTTATTTTCCACCATAATTTGCAAATAAATTCATTAAAAATCCTACAATGTGATTTTCTGGAGAAAAAAATTCTCAATTTGTCTGTCATAGTTGACGTGTACCTATGATGAAAATTACAGGCCTCTCTCATCTTTTTAAGTGGGAGAACTTGCACAATTGGTGGCTGACTAAATCCTTTTTTCCCCACTGTATATCATTTAAACCGAGCAGGACAAATGGAAAAGGGAGGCCATCGCTGAATAGCTTGGCCCTGTACAGAGTGAAAATATGACTAAGCTCGACTCAACCAGAGGCAAAAGATGTTTAAGAGAATCCAAATGTTGCCATGAATACCAGTGGCGGGCACATTCATAGCAGGGCTAAAATTAGCTGAGACTGTACTGTTATTACTTTAGCTTATCTGGCAGGCCACAGAAGTAGTTGTGTGTGTGTGTGTGTGTGTGTGTGTGTGTGTGTGTGTGTGTGTGTGTGTGTGTGTGTGTGTGTGTGTGTGTGTGGAGTTTCTTTACTCTAATTGCAGAATCCCCCGCTAAGCTTTTCTTTGGGACACTTTACATTGAATCCGCAAATCCCGACTATGCATTTCCTACCCAATTCAGTTCGACATTGTTCACTTAACTCGGGGCGTTTTTTTAAAGGGCTCGCTAAATCACCTAATGGGCCAAAAAAGACAGCAGTCGCCACTTAAATTGCAGAAAAACTTTAAAAGATGGGGTAAACGAAACCATATCTTCCAAATCCCCCTTTGGCGTTATTATTGGGGCAGATGCTATTATCATCAGGGGGAGATATGGCAGTAAACCATGGGGGTAGACTACCATAGTCAGTCAGCATGGTAGCGGTCATTAGTTTCGCGGCCTGACTTGGCAAACACAACTCTCTGTTGCCAAGTCAAAGACAACAATGCTCTGTGGCTGAGCCCCCTGCTTCCTTGTTGCCGTGGGAGCGGCTGGAATTCTGTTTCATTGTGATATTTGAAGCATGCTGTCTGCCCTATTAGCCAGAGGAATGTCCCTTTATCTACCGCACAAAATGTCCCTGGCAGACAAAACACCATAATACAGTCCCTAATACAGACAAGTACTATACCAGACACACAGTACTATACCATACACACAGTACTATACCATACACACAGTACTATACCAGACACACAGTACTATACCAGACACACAGTACTATACCACAGACAGTACTATACCAGACACAGTATTATACCAGACACAGTACTATACCAGACACAGTACTATACCAGACACAGTATTATACCAGACACAGTACTATACCAGACACAGTATTATACCAGACACAGTACTATACCAGACACAGTACTATACCACACACAGTACTATACCAGACACAGTACTATACCAAACACAGTACTATACCAGACACAGTATTATACCAGACACAGTACTATACCAGACACAGTATTATACCAGACACAGTACTATACCAGACACAGTACTATACCACACACAGTACTATACCAGACACAGTACTATACCAGACACAGTATTATACCAGACACAGTATTATACCAGACACAGTACTATACCAGACACAGTACTATACCAAACACAGTACTATACCAGACACAGTACTATACCAGACACAGTATTATACCAGACACAGTATTATACCAGACACAGTACTATACCAGACACAGTACTATACCAAACACAGTACTATACCAGACACAGTACTATACCAGACACAGTATTATACCAGACACAGTACTATACCAGACACAGTACTATACCACACACAGTACTATACCAGACACAGTACTATACCAAACACAGTACTATACCAGACACACAGTACTATACCAGACACACAGTACTATATTAGTTATATTTTCTATGTGGTTGTGTGTGTAAACAATGTGTCATAGTTGCAGTCAAGACACAATTTGGGGTTATTATCACAGAGAGACTTCCATTGAGACCAAAAAGATCATCAAGGACATCAACCACCCGAGCCACAGCCTGTTCACCCCGCTATCATCCAGAAGGCGAGGTCAGTACAGGTGTATCAAAGCTGGGACCGAGAGACTGAAAAACAGCTTCTATCTCAAGGCCATCAGACTGTTAAATAGCCGTCACTTTAATAATGTTGACATACTGCTTTACTCATCTCATACGTATATACTGTATTCTATTCTACTGTATTTTAGTCAATGCCACTCCGACATTGCTCGTCCTAATATTTATATATTTCTTAATTCCATTCTTTTACTTTTAGATTTGTGTATTGTTGTGAATTGTTAGATACTACTGCACTGTTGGAGCTAGGAACACAAGCATGCCACTACACCCGCAATAACATCTGCTAAATATGTGTATGTGACCAATACATTTTGATTTGATTTGATTGTTCCAGCTAAAGTGTTTTTCATCTCCTTATTAACATGTGATGTGGTGTGTGTGTGTGTATTCCTCAACTTAATAGGGGCCAGGCCAGTAATGTGGGTCCGATTATGTGGACTGACTCACTTGGCTAGAGTGGGTAAGGAAGTTAGGTATTCCCACCACCGGAAATTATTTAGATTCAAGTGGGATAGGCCAATCATCCACACAGTCCATCTCATTATAATCATGGACAAGAGCCATAGTGATAGGAGGGTCACAGAGGCTGTGTCCCAAATGGCATCCGATTCCTTATGTAGTGCACTACTTTTGACCAGGACTCATAGGGGTAGGTTGTAGGGAATAGGGTGCCATTTGGGACGCAGTCAGGGAGTGAATCATACTTCCTAACTAATTCAGATATACGACATAACTTAAAAACTTGATTGCTTTGCATAAAATGTCAAGAGAGGTAATTATATAAATGTTCACCAAAGTAGGGAAAGTTAACTGAATTCAGCAGAGGACAAAATGAAGCTCTGGACCGGGTTCCACTTAATTTCCCACTTTTCGATAAGAATCTGGCGATTCTGTCAGCCTTCCACTTTCCATTGTAATAGGCATTCTTTTTTTTTTTACCACAGATAAAATATCTATCTTTGCCTATTGCAAGTGGCCATTGCAAGGAGTAAGTTCCCGGCAAAGCAATTCAATTGTCAATTTTAGTCAATTTCTTATTCAGAACTAGACACTGCTCTTTGCAGACAAAGGTGATGTCAAAGGTAATGTAAGTACTATCAATCTATGTAAACCAACCCTGGTGCAAGAGGTGGTTCTTGTTGCGCCCATAGCAGGTTG